CATCGTGCCAGGCACACGGTATACACTCAGCAGTGGTAGTATTGATACTCTTCTCTGCCTTGCCAGATGCTCCCCTCAACACTCTCTCAGCAAATGGCTCTGCCTTCTCCCCCCCCCCCCCCGCACTCCCCCTCACTCATCAAGCCCAGCTGATTCCTCCATCACCACCTCTTCCAAATCAGTGGCCTAATATCTCTGCCGTCTACCACCTCCCCATCCTAGGTCCCTATCGTTGCTCGCCTAGACAGCTGCAATAGCCTCCTCAGACTCTCCCTGCCTCCACCCTTGCCCCTTCCATGTCCCTGAAGAGCCAAGCTCCCTCCTTGGCCCCTCCCCTGGCCCCACTACAATCCATTCCCCTCAGAGGGATCCTGTTAAGATAAGTCCAACCATACCCCTCCTCTACTATGAACCCTTCCATGACTCCCTACTTGTTCCAGCATTTAGTCTTCCCCACGGCCTCCAAGTGCCCTTCCCCTGTCTCTTTCCCCCTTGCTCATTCAGCTCCAGCCACCCTGGCCTCCTTGCTGTTCCTCAAACACACACACACACACACACACACACCAGCCTTTGCCCTGGCTGTTCTGCCTGCCTGGAATGCCTTTCTTTCTTCACATTGCTGACTTCTCATCCTTCAGTTTCAGCTTAACCATCACCTCCTCAGGGAAGCAGTCCCTGACCACCCTATATGCAAGAGATCCCCCACCCCAATCATTCTCCTACACCCCAATCTGAAATTACCTGGGTCATCTTTGCCTACTCTACAAGGGCAGGGTTTTTTTGCCTGAATTCCAGGGCCTGGCATGTAGTTGGTGCTCAAATACCTGTAGAATGAATCAGACAGTTATCTTCTGAAATCTCTCAACAGCCCCGTAAGAAGGGATCTATTCATAAACCAGCATTCACAGACTGGAAAATGGAGACAGAGAGGTAAAGTAACTTGCCCAAAGGCACAATGCTGTGCCCGGAGTCACATGCTCCAGGCAACCAGCACAAAGGGGCTGGTCTTGGGGTCTCCACCCCATTAAGGCCCAATGAAGAGCAATTTCCCTCATGCTCAGCAGCCCTCTTCCCCTACTGCCCAAATGGGGCCAGCTTAGCCCAAGTCACCATCCAGCACAGAACCCACTCTGCCCATGGCCCTTGCCTCCTCCCGTCCAGCAAAAAAAGGGGAGGGTAGGAAGCAGCAGGGGTGCGGGCTCCCACCTCTGGGAGGGCCTGGTCACCCATTTATCTCCTCACACTCATGCTGTTTTCCAAGAAGTTCAGAGTCCACTGTGGGTACTGCTGTTGATCCAACAGCCTTTGACCAGGCAGGAAGCGGGAGGGAGCCTGGTCTCCCTCCAGTCCCAGGGCCAGGTTCTGCCCTCCACCTTAAGAATGTCACTTCACCTTTCCCAGCCTGTTTCCTCATCTGTCAGGTGGGCTGTGGAGTGGGTTCAATGAGGAAAACCCACTGGCATATTATGGGAAAGGCACCAAAATCACTGCCACTGTGAGTCGGGGTGAGCCTCCTCTATAAAATGAGAATATTAATATCCATTCCTCTGGGGCACCTGGGTGGCTCAGGCATCTGCCTTCAGCCCAGGTCATGATCCCAGGGGCCTGGATGGAGTCCTGCATGGGGCTCCCTGCCCCCACGGGAAGCCTGCTTCCCCTTCTCCCTCTGCCTGCCATTCCCCCTGCTTGTTCGTTCTCCCTCTCCCTCTCTCAAATAAATAAAATCTTTTTTAAAAAAAAATAAATAATAAGATAAGTAACAAGTATTATCCCTCTAGGAAGGGTTGAATAAATCCATTCTGCAAAATGTTTAGCAGGCAGTGAACATTCAGGAAAGCAGCTGTCCAAAAGGCAAATGATTAGCTCAAGGTCTCCAGAGACACAGCTGGCCAGGAACCCAGGACTGGAGAAACTGAGGCATGGCATTTTGGCATTCAATTCAAGAAGCCGGACCGCAGGTGCTGAGACAATCCAGCTGCCACAAGTGTCCCCTAACAGTGGTCACCGGGGGCGGAGGGGGGTGGAGAATAGGGTGTGGCAGGTACCGGCGGAAAAGCGTGCCGAGAACTCCCAGAGCGCCTCTGCAGCAGGGGCCGTGGGGACTCCAGGACCCTCGCCCCAGCCGCGGCCTACGAGCTCGAGCTCGCGCAGAGGCTGGTTCTCCAGGTCTGGCACTGCTCCTAGCTGCCCTCCGCCCCTTTTTTGTGTCTGGTGTTTTCCTTAAAGGGCAGCCAGAGCCCCAGATGAGGTGCTCCGCGGCAGAACGCCGGAGCCAGAGTTCGCGGGCGGCGGAGGTCCCCCGCGGGGGGGTCGTGGGCCAAGCCCGGCCAGCAGCCGGGATCCCCAACGCGTAAACGACCAGTAGCGTGCGGTCGCAGACGAGCAGCTGTCTCCAGCAGAGGTCCCACAGCCCGGGACCCCGAGGCCCACGACGGCCCGAGCCCGGGCTCGCGTCTCCTAGCAGAGCCGCCCGCAGATTCCCCCCAACCCCGCCAGGCCAGCCTTACCTCTCCGTGCAGCCTAGGGAGGCGCGGCGCCCGGGGCGGCCCGGCCATGGCCCGGGACCCACTCGGCGGCGGCGGCGGCGGCGGCAGCAGCAACGGCGGCGCTTTGTCTCCGGGGCGGCCCGGCCGGCGCAGCCGCGGGAGCGCTCCGCTCGGACGGAAGGAGGCGGGGGCAGCCGGACGGTCCACGACCCGCGGGCGGGCCCCTTTAACCCTTCCCAACCCACCCGCGTCGGGCCCGCCCCCGCGTTCGGCCCGCCCCCGGATTGGCCAGCCCCGACTCGGCACGCCCCCGGGGTTCGACACGCCCCCATTGGCCCGTCCCCGAAACCACTCTTAAAGGGACCGCGTCTAATTCCCCAATCCCCAGTGCCTTACTTAACCCAGGCAAGAGGCCTAGAGCCCTGAGACCCACCGCGCTACCAGTCGCTGCAGCCTTAGGCCTGGAGTGGGAAATGGGAAATCCTCCCTGACTAGCATTGCCAGATTTAGCAAATTTAACTCCTAGCTAAATCTGAAAAACAACTCTGCTGAAAATGTGTACTTTATTGGGAAAAAAAAGAATGCAGCACATTGGGGGCGTTTTTGACAAAGTCAATAGAGGACTGTATTATATGCATAGGGTGCCTGGCAACCCTACCCGCTGTCCCAGTGAAGAGGGAAAGTCCTGGAATGGGAGGTGTGGGTTCGGGTCCCACTGAGTCATTTGATCCCTGCGGGCCTTTGAGAAGTCACTTCACTTCTCTAGACCTCTGTTTCCTCACCTGGAAGATACAGTCATTGTAAATAAAGTTCATGGCACACAGTAGGTGCTTTCAGCAAACAGGAACAGCTATTCTTCTTGCTCCACCCAAAATAACAGGGTTCTAACTCCCTGGACCTTTATTTATTTCCTGCTCTTGCTGCCACCCTCCAGAACTAGTCATCGTCCAGTCCTGGCCTGAAGATGAGAGGAACATGTAGATGTATTCATTCTACAGCCTCTTACTAAGCACCGGCTGTGTGCCAGGCACTGTTCCTGAATCAGTCAACAACTGGATTCCGAAGTGATTTCTGCTAGGAAGACAACCAGCCATGGCAATCAGGCAGAAAGAATGGGAGTGAGATTTTAGACAAGGTGGTCAGAAACAGTCTCTCTGAGAAGAAACCTGAATGAAATGAGAGAGAGAGCCATGTAGATATCCCAGAGAAGCATGTCCCAGGCAGAGGAAACAGCAAGTGCAAAGGCCCTGAGATAGGACCATCCCAAGTATGTTTGAATAACAGGGAACAGGCCCAGTGGAGCTGTAGCCAAGTGGGCAAGTGGAAGAATAGTAGGAAATGAGGTCAGAGAGTATTGGTAAAGCCAGGTTGTTTGGGGCCTTGTGGATCATAAGAAAGATCTCACTTTTACCGTTAGAAGAATGGGGAGCCATGAGAGGGTTTTGAGAACACGAGAGGAACACGGTCTATCTTAGGTTCAACATGGTCTCTGGGTGCTATGAGGAGTTTGGACTATAGAGAGAAGAGTAGAAGCAGGAGACCAGGGAGGATGCTCTTATAGTAATCTAAGCAAGTGATGGTGGTGGCTTAGAGCAAAGCAGAAGCCATGGGGTGGAGAGGAGTGGTTGTATTCTAGAGCATGTCTGATAGTGAAGCAAGCACAGAGGAGAGTGGGGCCAAGACCCTCAACATGGAGACAGATACCTAGTGGTATCTAATAGTGGCTGAGCCCCTGAATCTACCTATACCTGATGCTAACATAATTCTTCAACCAGGAGAGGCTAGCTGGAATTTCCACAAATGTAGACACCAGATAAGGAAAATGCCATGCACAAAGGCTTCTGGGTCTGATGTGGGGAAAATCTCCCCAGAGATCTATGAACCTTGACTCTCAGAACCCCTCATACTGCAATTGAGGTTTGGCATGGGTGAAAGAGGCAGAAATCAGAAAGCGCCCTGACATTCTTTAAAAAAAAAAAATTCCTTATTATTTATTTTAATTTTAATTGAGGTGAAATTCACATAACAAGAAATTAATCATTTTATTTATTTTTTTGAATTTGGATATTCATATTGTGTTTAAGCAATCAACTATTTTTAAAAATATTTTATTTATTTATTCATGAGAGAGAGAGAGAGAGAGAGGCAGAGAAACAGGCAGAGGGAGAAGCAGGCTCCATTCAGGGAGCCTGACATGGGACCCGATCGCGCGTCTCCAGGATCGCGCGCTGGGCTGAAGGCGGCGCTAAACCGCTGAGCCATCGGGACTGTCCTATTTATTTTTTAAATGTTTATTTTTTGAGTAATCTCTACACCCAGTGTGGGGCTTGAACTCACAACCCGAGATCGAGAGTTGCATGCTCCACCAACTGAGCCAGCTAGGCACCCCCAAAATTAACCATTTTAAAGTAAACATAACATATAGCATGGTGACTGGTTGATAACACGGTTTGTATAATTTAAAGAAAGTAGAAATTGCTCTTCCCCCTGAGCGGCCTGAGGTAAACTCCGAAAATGGTTCCCTACTCGCTGGACCCAGAAAACCCTACAAAATCATGCGAGTTGAGAGGTTCAAATCTTCATGTTCACTTTAAGAACATGCATGAAACTGCCCAGGCCATCAAGGGTATGCATATCCGAAAAGCCACCAAGTACCTGAAAGACATCACTTTGCAGAAGCAGTGTGTGCCATTCTGTTGCTACAATCGTGGAGTTGGTAGGTGTGCGCAGGCCAAACAGTGGGGCTGGACACAGGGTCGGTGTCCCAAGAAGAGTGCTGAATTTTTACTGCACATGCTTAAAAATGCAGAGAGTAATACTGAACTTAAGGGTTTAAATGTAGATTCTCAGGAATCCCTGGGTGGCTCAGCGGTTTAGCGCCTGACTTTGGCCCAGGGCGTGATCCTAGAGTCCCGGGATCGAGTCCCACATCATGCTCCCTGCATGGAGCCTGCTTCTCCCTCTGCCTGTGTCTCTGCCTCTGCCTCTCTGTCTCTGTGTCGTTCATGAATAAATAAATAAATAAAATTTTTAAAAAATAATAATAATAAATGTAGATTCTCTGGTCATCGAGCACATCCAGGTGAACAAAGCCCTCAAGATATGACATAGAATTTAGAGGGCTCGGGATCCCTGGGTGGCACAGCCGTTTGGCACCTGCCTTTGGCCCAGGGCGTGATCCTGGAGACCCGGGATCGAAACCCACGTCAGGCTCCCCGTACTTGGAGCCTGCTTCTCCCTCTGCCTATGTCTCTGCCCCCCTCTCTCTCTCTGTGTGTGACTATCATAAATAAATAAATAAATAACATTAAAAATATATATATAGTTAAAAAAAAAAGAATTTGGAGGGCTCATGGCCGGATTAACCCACATATGAGCTCTTCCTGCCACATCGAGATGATTCTTACTGAAAAAGAGCAGATTGTTCCTAAACCAGAAGAGGAGGTTGCACAAAAGAAAAAGATATCCCAGAAGAAACTGAAGAAAAAACCTTGTGGCCCAGGAGTAAATTCTGCATAGAATAAACGCAAATAAAAATAAAATAAATAAATAAATAGAGTAGAACTTAAATGCTCCCACCAAAAAAAAAAAAAAAAAGAAAGAAAGAAACACTAAAACACATTAATGAATGTGTTAACCAAGGGAGCGGAATCTTCACAATACTTATATATGTATAAAATCAGGGATCCCTGGGTGGCGCAGCGGTTTGGCGCCTGCCTTTGGCCCAGGGCGCGATCCTGGAGACCTGGGATCGAATCCCACGTCGGGCTCCCGGTGCATGGAGCCTGCTTCTCCCTCTGCCTGTGTCTCGGCCTCTCTCTCTCTCTCTCTCTCTGTGACTATCATAAATAAATAAAAAAATTTAAAAAAAAAAAAAAAAAAAAATAAAATCATCACGATGTATGTTTTAAATATATTTTCTTTGTCAATTATACCTCGATAAAGCTGAAAAGAAAGAAAGAAAAGAAAAAAGATACAGCTCCCAACTTTAAAAAGTCACCAGTACAGGGGCCCCTGGGTGGCTCAGTCAGTTAAGCGTCCAGCTCTTGGTTTTGGCTCAGGTCATGATCTCGCCTGTTGTGGGACTGAACCCCACTTCAGTCTTCCTCCCTCTGCCCTTCCCTGCTCGCGCACACGCGCTCTCTCTAAAATAATTTTTTTAAAGTCATCAGCACAAAAGAAACAATTCAGTGACATTTAGTACATTCATGATGTATAATCACCAACACTATCTAGTTTCAGAACATTCCTGTGACTCCAAAGTAAAATCCCATATCCATTAGCAAGCACTCCCCATCCTCCCCTCCTCCCAGCCCCTGGCAACCACCAATCTACTTTCTTTTTTTCCATGGAAGTATAGTTGACCCATAATGTTACATTAGTTCCAGGTGTACAACACAGTGATTTGAGAACTCTGTACTGCTCTGTTCACCACAAGCATAGCCACCATCTATCACTGTGCACCACTATTACAGTATTATTGACTGTATTCCCTATGCTGTCCTTTCCATCCCTGTGACCAGGCTTCCATAACTAGAACCTGTACCTTCCACTCTCTTTCCCCATTTTCCCCATATCCACTCTCCTTCTCACTGGCAACCACCAGTCTGTTCTCTGTATTTGTGGGTGTTTCTGGTCTTTGTTGTTGTTTGTTCATTTGCTCTGTTTTTTAGATTCCACATATAAGTGAAATTATGTGATATTCATCTTTCTCTGACTTATTTCACTTAGCACTATACCCTCTAGGTCCATCCATGTTGCTGCAGATGGCAAGATTTCATTCTTTTTTATGACTAATATTCCATTGTATATGTACAGCACGTCTTTTTTTTTAAGTTTATTATTTATTTATTTATTTATTTATTTATTTATTTATTTATTCATGAGAGACAGAGAGAGAGAGAGGCAGAGACACAGGCAGAGGGAGAAGCAGGCTCCATGCAGGGAGCCTGACGTGGGACTTGATCCCGGGTCTCCAGGATCAGGCCATGGGCTAAAGGCAGCGCTAAACCACTGAGCCACCCGGGCTGCCCAGCACATCTTTATCCATTCATCTATGGGGACACTTGAGTTGCTTCCATATATTAGCTATTATAAGTAATCCTGCAATAAACACAGGGTTGCATATATCTTTTCAAATTAGTGTTTTTGTTTTCTTTGGGTAAATGCCCAGCAGTGGGATTACTGGATCATATGGTATTTCTATTTTTAAGTTTTTGAGGCATCTCCACACTATTTTCCACAATGTGGAAATTGGTTGCACCAATTTACCTCTCCACCATCAGCAGGGTTCCTTTTTCTCCACATCCTCACCAACATGTGTTATTTCTTGTTTTGTTTTGTTTTTTAATTCTAGCTATTCTTATAGGTATGAGGTGTTACCTCATTGTGGTTTTAATTTGTATTTCCCTGATGATGGGTGATGTTGAACATCTTTTCATGTGTCTATTGGTGATCTGCATGTCTTCTTTGGGAAAATGTCTACTTATGTCTTCTGCCTATTTTAATTGGGTTACTTGTTTTTGGGGTGTTGGGCTGCAGGAGTTCTTTATATATTTTGGATATTAACCCCTTATTGGATATATCATTTGCGAATATCTTCTCCTATTCAGTAGGTTGCCTCTACTTTCTGTTGCTGTGGATTTGTCTATTCTGGATATTTCATAGAAGTGGGATCATAGTATGTGGCCTTTGGTGCCTGGCTTCTTTCACTTGGAGCAGTGCTTTCAATGTCCATCTACCTTACAGTGTTTACCAGTACTTTATTTCTCTATGGCTGATTCATATTTCTTTTTTTTTTAAGTAGGTATTCTTTTTTTTTTAAGATTTTTTTTTAATTTATTCAGAGAGAGAGGCAGAGACAGGCTCCTTGCAGGAAGCCTGACACGGGACTCGATCCCGGGTCCCCAGGATCACACCCCGGGCTGCAGGCGGCGCTAAACCACTGTGCCACCAGGGCTGCCCTGATTCATATTTCACTGTACAGTTAGGCTACATTTGGTTTATCTTTTCATCCACTGAGGAATATCCTGTCATTCCCACCTTTGGCTGCTATGAATAGCGGAGCATCTTTGTGGCTCGGACCTGCAGAGGGCTGGAGAAGAGGCCGTGATTTAGAAGGTCTGGAAAGGGGAATTTGAGAACCAGAAGTGAGTTGTGGCTGCTGTTACCAGTCCTGATGATTTTACCTCCAGACCATGTCTGAGTATGTCACTTCTCTATCCTTGCCACCACTTCCCCATCCCAGGCCACCATCACTCTCAGCTCTCACTAGGACAGCTCCAGTGGCCTTATCTCTGGTCTGCCATCTGCCCCTCTGACCTCTGCTCCCATGGAATCCATCTTCCATTGAGGGAATCCTGGCAAAACTTAAGGCAAACCAAGTCATGGCACTCTCTTGCTCAGAGTCTTTCCGTGGCTCTCCACTGCCTCAGAAGCAGATCCACCTCCTCCCTGTGAATGACAGGGTCCTGCATGACCTGGACTCTGCCCACCCCTCCAGCTCCTCATGCATGGTGTTCTGTCCCCACTCCCTCAGCTTCAGCCACCTGGCTGCCCTCTGCTCCCATGGTGCACCAGGCTCTGGGCCTCGGCATGGCACGTGTGGTTCACTTGAAGGCTCCTCCTCCAAGGCCTCACTCAGCCATCACCTCTTGAAGGTGTGTGATGCCCTACCCCATCCCTCTGAGTCCAGTGCCTTCGTTTTCTCCAGTCATTCTTTCCAACAGCATTTATCGATCATGACTCTGTCCCACCCATGAGGGATAAAGGTTAAAAAGACAGATAAGTCCATACATGTTCATAGTAGCAATATTCCCAGTAACCAAAAGGTGAAAGCAACCCAAGTGTCCATCGATGGAAGAATAGATAAATAAAATATGGTGCATCCATAAAATGGAATATAACTCAGCCATAATTAAGGAATAGAGTTCTGGGGTACCTGACCGGCTTGGTTGGTAGAGCACATGACCCTTAATCTTGGGGTTGTAAGTTCAAGTCCTATGTTGGGTATAGAGATAACTTAAAAATAAAATATTTAAGGGAACCTGGGTGGCACAGTTGGTTAAGCATCCAACTCTTGGTTTCTGCGCAGGGTCATGATCTCAGGGTTGTGGGATCCAGTCCTGCATAGGGCTCTGTGATGAGCACAGAGTCTGCCTGGGAGTCTCCCTCTTCCTCTGATCTTCCCCCAAAAAAAATCTTTTATTTTTTTTCCAAAAAAAAAAGTCTTTTAAGAATAAATAAGAATTAATAAAATGGTCAATTTTATGCCATATGAATTCACTTCAATAAATTTTTAAAAAATATTTATATTTAGGGGTGCCTGGGTGGCTCAGTTGGTTAAGCATCTGCCTTCAGCTCAGGTCATGATCCCAGGGTCCTGGGATCAAGCCCTGCCTCAGGCTCCCTGCTCAAGGGAAAAGTCTGCTTCTCCCTTTCCCTCCCCATTCGTGTACTCTGTCTCACTCTGCTTTCTCTCAAAAACAAAATCTTAATAAACACAAATATTTATGTATTTAAATACATATGTATTTATTTATTATTTATTATTTATTTATTATTTATTTATTAGATTTTATTTATTTATCCATGATAGACACACACACACACACACACACACACACACAGAGAGAGAGGCAGAGACACAGGCAGAGGGAGAAGCAGGCCCCATGCCGGGAGCCTGACGTGGGACTCGATCCCAGGATTTCAGGATCGTGCCCTAGGCCAAAGGCAGGTGCTAAACCGCTGAGCCACCCAGGGATCCCTAAATACATATGTATTTAAAATAAGCCCTACAGGGACACCTGGGTGGCTCAGCAGTTGAGCATCTGCCTCTGGCTCAGGTTGTGATCCTGGGGTCCTGGGATCGAGTCCCACATCAGGCTCCCTGCATGGAGTCTGCTTCTCCCTCTGCCTATGTCTCTGCCTCTCTGTGTGTGTGTGTCTCTCATGAATAAATAAAATCTTTAAAAAAAAATAAAATTAGCCCTACACCCAGCGTGGGGCTCCAGCTCATAAGCCCAAGACCAAGAGTCTCATGCTCTTACCAACTGATGCCCCTTCAATAAATTGTTTTTTTAAAAAACAGACAAGTGCTCTTTCCCTCTCTTACCAGAGGGAAGGGGGGGGTGGGAAGTGAATCAACATTCATACAGTACATTAGATGCAATTAGGAGTCAAGAGGAAAAATAAAGCAGGGGAAGAATATTGGAACTGTGAATGACAATGAGGTTGCCCTTTTAGCTAGGAGAGGCCAAGGAAGACTTCCCAGAGAAGGTGGTTTTCAGTAAAGACCTGAAGGCAATAAGGGCACAAACCATGCAGATATCCAGAGGGAAGAGCATTCTTGGCAGAGGGAACAGCAAATGCAAAGCTTCAGGGGCAAGAAACATATCAAGGAGGCTGGTATGGCTGGAGAAGAAAGAGCAAGAAGGGAGGAGAGGTGAGATGAGGCCCGT